TTGGTTTCGAGTGGCGCAACATATTCTTTTTTTTTGTTTTTTATCATTCTGCATGTTGTATATACAACAAACTTGGTTTTATTTTTTACCCATTTTATACATTTTTTTGTTGTTGTGTTTTCATTGCGATTTTTATTATTTTTCAATGCTCAAAACTCGACGTCGCATAAAACTTGTGTTTTTGCTGCTACTGCTACTGCTGCTCCTGCAGAATCTACTTCCCATTCCCCACAATTTTTTTCTTCTCCACAGTCCACAGGATGCTGCTCGTTACAGAGTTTCCATTTCTCGCTGAGAGCGAGACATTTTGCTAATGCATTGATTAAAATTGAATTTTTAATTAAAATATTGTAGCAGGATGGGCAGGATGTGAGTGTGGAGATGGTGTTTGTATGTGGATATATGATTTGAGAGTCTGCACATAAGTTTCTGTTTGTTTTTTCTTAAATCTCTGAGTGCTGCTGTCATATATTAAGCTGCTCAGCGGATTAGATGAAAACTGAAATATATATCAGGCTAAAAATTGTCCAATTAAATGCATAAATCTTAAAGGGAGCTGAATAGATTTATTCGACTCCTTTCACTTTCAATTTTCTTTCACCCACTCTAAGCCCCAGCATTGCGCCCATCTTAATCCAAATAAATCACAAGCAATTATGCAAGCCAAGCATCCTTAAGGAATTTTCACACTTTCACACGTTGCCACAAAGCCAAGTCGAGCAATCCCAGGCGTGCCATCTCCAGTCTTTCGGATTGTATTCCAATGTCCAATGTCCATTGTCCATTGTCCGGAATTCGATGACCAGAAAGCCACAAGTGCATTATACCAGCATAAATCTCTCAATTGCTTTCTTATGCAGTCCCCAAGTCCTTGTCCGAGTCGGAGACCGGACACCCGGAGACTCGAAACCCAGGCAAAATGCATGTTTACAGAAAATATTTTCTTTGCATTTATTTTGCCTCAAAAATAGCGTCGTAGGCCGCAGAGGGACGCACACGCAAGCCGGGTGAAAGGTGGACAATGTCCGGTGTCCAGTATAAGTGAGCTAATAAATGTACAGAAAATTTCGACAGCAAACATTTACTTAAGCAAACGGCAATCGAAAACCTAGGGATTGGGGACGGAATTCAAAGTTGAGACGTTCGGCAGGAGGAAATGAATAAGTGTAGGTGCACTGAGCCAATAAAAATAATGGAAATTTAGGGGAAAATCTTAATAGTTTAAGGCAGGTAAGAAATCAAATAAATACTCTTAAAATTTGATGATGGAGAGCATCTCAAGCAGGGCCAGTGCAAAGCATCTTCTATAGAATATAGTCATATTTTATTGTATTTTTCAAGTGTAGTGGGTGTGTGTAAGCATGTGTATAAGTGGTGTCAAACCACAAACACCTTTTGCGTAAAATAAAGCAATCAAGCAAATAATGTTGCCACATTACACTATCAACAGCTTCCTGTTTTCTCGACACCCACACATACACATACATTCTCAAGGAGCAGAGCAGGAAGTTGAAGGCAGTCGGCAGGAGGCAGCACTCACAAGCTGGGAAAATTCTTTAATAGCTGACATACACACACACACAAACAAACATTCAGGACAAAATGGTTGTGCAGACTAAAGTAAAATTGAAACAACCTTGAGGAATGCCGTAGCTGGCACACACTTACACACAGGATACTCAGTACACACACACTCTCTGGCAGACAGAGATGCAGACTGAGAAGCAAAAGTGTCTGGCAAAATGTCTCGACTCCTGAATTTCCTTCCAGTCCCTCCCCCGGCTCTCTGGTCCGTGGCATTTCTGCTCCCGTTCCTGTGACCGACTCAGTGGAAGTCAAGGCTTTGAGCCAACGACGACAAGGTTGTCCTTGCTGAGCAGCAGCAGCAGGAGCATTGGCTCTGGCAGGATAAGGAAGGTAGGAAGTCAGCCACCACCAACACCACCACCCCAGCCAACTCGTGCACTTTCGCTTTTGGCCTGGCCAAAATTGCACATGCTGCCACTACAGCTACTGCCACTGTGCCATATTTAACAAATTATCTGTAATTTCTCGAGAGCAGGCAACAGCAACTTGGGGCTTCAGCTCGACTCTGCTCGAGTGCATCTTCCCGCAGAGCGTGAGTCCAATTGCCAGGTTCAATTAACCCATGAAACCCCCTTTTTATGAACCTAAAGCCCAAAATGTTAAGGCTCCCAGCCACATAATTAACCAAATAAAAGTAAAAAGAAGTTTCCAAAGCCATATTTTTCAATGGCAAGCCGAAAACCAAAACTGAAGTTTATATTCCCAACCATAAGCCCTTTGAAAATCCAGAACCTCAACGGGTTAAGGCGGCGCCAAACCACTTGTCAAGATGGCTAACGGCAGAGTGGCTGCTAACTGTTGCGGGGTTAAGAGGAGGAGGACAAGAGGAGCCAAAAGGCAAGGCAGCCAAACAACCGGCAAACCAACCAGCCAGGATTTTGGCTACAAGCAGCCGCAAATGCTTAACTTCAGACACAAATCGAGACAGGGATAAGGGGTGAGTTTCAGGACGATGAAACGAGGAGCAAGCCGGGTGCCGGGAAGCAGGGAGCAAGGAGGTACAAGGAGCAAGGACGAGGAATAGAAGGAAGACAGACAGCAGGCGGCAACCACAGCAGGCGTATTGCTGGCAAGGACGAAACGAAAGGCAGGACGACGACGAGCACAAGGCAGCTGCCGTGGCTGGAAGGAAGTTGTTTTGTGGGTCGCAATTCAAGGCTGACCGAGAACGAGGACGAGAATGAGACTCGGACCCTTTTGGTGCTCCTGTTGCTTCTCCGCATCCTGCTTGCCACCCTTCTCTGCTGCCATTGCTCCCAATGCTGACTGACTTGGATGTGTGTGTGGGTGGGTGTCTCGAAAGATGAAAGCTATTCATGACCAGTCGAGTGGCTGCCTAGCTCTTTGGCTTTAATGCACTAATAAAAAAGGGGATAGTTTATTTAAAATAAAGCTTTACTATCATAATAAGACTTGTTACTCCTTTATTAAAAGAAAGCAATACTTTATCTTTTCTACCTATAATTTTCTTTCAGTGTGGATCATACTTTCGTCCGTTGGGTGGCCAGCAACTGCTCTGGAATGACCTTGAGCATTACAAATGTACGGCTGTCCCCGCAGCAGACTGTGTTTTGTGAAGGAGGTTGACCCCTCTCTGGGCCTCTGGCTTTACTTCGGTTTCTCCTATTTATCTGCAGCCTGCAGTTAAGGATGCTGAGGATGTTCACAAATGTTTCGGCCAACCAAGGACCAAGGACTAAGGACCACAGGGCACAAGGCACAGGACATGGGACGTAGAGGCAAAAGCGAGACGAGTCCGAAGAGCCGAGTCCGACCGAGTTTTGCATCAAGTGCAAAGTGATGTGTTAAGCTGTTAAGTGCCAAAGTAATTGTTTTCTTTCACCAACACAACAATACAAGAGGGGTGCGGGTGCAGGCGCGGGGGCGGAGAAAGCATGAAAAGCTTGACGTCGCTTTCACTTGCCACTTGACCTTGAGAACTGGCCGTGCATGAGTGTGTGGCACGGCTATGGAAGCTGTTCTGGATGAAGTTGCATTTGTAGGAGGAATTAAGTGAATTATGTCTTTGAAAGTGAAGGCCCCTAGAAGGTTGAAGACCAGAGTATAGAATTTTGCTGACTGTTTCTGGAATGTTGCTTATCTTATCCAAAAACAATTGAAGTAGTAAACATTTTTATCTTCATTTTTCGAATATATATTTTTCAAGGGTTATCGGGTCTAAAAAATCTGAAAATTCCATGAAGAATCATACTTTATTTTGGGGACTTGTTAAGCATCATATCTTAATATTTCCCTTGAAACCCCCTTTGAATAAAACACCTCCATATATTGGTTGACAATTAGTTTTTCAATTTGTTTTTATTTTCCGTTTATTTTTGTATAATTTACGGTTCAACTAAACATAAGAATGCCTCGTGCATCTTCGGGGACATACATGTATGTTTAATAATAATAATAATAGTCGTAATAATAATAATAATAATAGTTCACTCACAGAGTACGGACAATACATATGCAGTCTAGGGTATTGTGTGCGATTGTATGTGTTTTTTTGTGTGTGGGCGTATGGGTTGTTTACATAAAATTAGCACAATTATAATGTGATGCTGCCAGCCTGCCTGCGTTGTTTGCTCATTCATTCATTTACAATGTTACAGTACGAGCTCCTCTATCCGATTATCATAGAATAAGTGCCATTTGTATTGGGGCTTGTAGGGGGCCTGCTGTATTGAGGGAGTATTCGGGATGGGGTGGAGTGGGCTGGGGTCGGGGAGGGAGGTATATCTAAGATTAAGTCGAAGCCTAAAGCTATGGAAATTTGTACATTATTTACAGTTACATTTGGAAATACCATTAATATAATTATATAGGTTTAGGCGTGTGTGTTTGGGGTGTGTTTTTGAAGTGTGTTTGCATTATTCTCTATATATCTAAAAGTATATATGCATAGGCTGGTATATATAGTAATTATGTATGTATTTTAATTACCAGAATTTTTGACAACATTCAGTGTGATTGTATGTCTAGGGTTAAGCTACATTTAAGAAATGCACAAGTCTCTAATGGTAATATTAAATTGTTTCATTATGGTTACCTTTACTCTTATCAATATTATATTTTTCGCGTGGCAAAAAAAGGCAATCAACGCAACGCATTCTCTCGAAATAAATAAGAAAAAGTACGAGATCCTATCCTTACAGGAAAGTTTCGAAGTATGTGTGATTATGCGTGTGTGTGTTTTTGTGGGTTTTGGATTCAGTATAGTTTTTGGGTGTGCTTTAATAATAGTTTAATACTTTATATGTACCTTCCTCGTTACGCTCTAAAACTAGCCTAGGCATAAAAACCAGTTAGCAACTTCAACTAAGCACTAAACTCTAAAAACGTTGGGGTTTCCATCAGCAGTCCAAATTTTTCTTTGTGGGGTTGTATGTTTCATTTTTTTCTTTTAATTGGGCGTTTTGGGGTGGTTTTATGTTATTTTCTTTACTTTTTGGGCTAAAAAGAGGGCTAATCCTGGGGTTAGCCTGGAGAACCTTCAGTAATTTAACTTTTGAAAGTAATAATTCTTACTTTAAAGAAAAATTAGCATAATAGTTTTTTATTTTAATGAAAATAATATTGTTTTTAGAAATAATAATTTTAATAGCTTCTTACTTTCAAAGCCAAAGTCACTTACAGTTCTCCCATTATCTTGGAATTCCCTAAAAACGACCAAACCCCAAGGATTGGGGCACTGCCCCTCCTCCCCTGATTCAATCCTCGTGCGGCAGCTCGGTGGCATGCTGCTGCTCCAGCTTGATCTTCATCAGGGGCGACTCCCGGATACCGGGTGCGCCGCCTGCCCCACCCACGGCACCCGGGGCATAGGCGGCCGCCGCTGCAGCAGCTGCCGCCGCATCTGGGTTGGTGAAGAGTTCGCTCATGTCCTGGCCTGGTCCTGGGAAGAAGTCCTCGAAGCGCGGGCTCTTGTTCACCGACTTCTGGAGCAGGCCGTTGGCAATGGCCTCGAAGTCGATGCCGGCGGGCAGGCTCTCCAGGAAGCGCTTGTTGTAGGCGCTGGCCTGGTGCTTCGCATAGTGGGCGGCGGAGTAGGGGGAGGCGGCTCCGGGCCGCTGACTGGCGGACAGGGACTTGGCACTGCCGGACCCCGAACTAGAGCCCCTCGACTGGCTGCCATATTGCCGAGACAGTTCACGCTCCCTCTCTCTTTCGCGCTCCCTATCGCGCTCTCTCTCGCGGGACAACTCCCGGGCATATGAGGCGGCACTGTTCGGAGCGGCGCCACCAGCTCCACCGGCCGATCCCCGCGAGGGCATTACATTCAGGCCGGGCAGTCCCATCAGACCCAGGGCACTCAGGTCCGGGAGGTTCTCGGAGCCCCGGCGGTCGCCCTGCTGCTGCTGATGCTTGGCCGCCGCTGCAGCAACTGCCGCTGCAGCGGAAACCTGGTCTTCGATCTCGGATCTCTGCAGATAGGCCGGCGACTTGTACATGTTCATGGACTGGCCGTGGGGCGACTGCTGTTGGTGGTGCGACGGCTGTTGTTGGTGGTGCGACTGCTGCTGCTGGTGGTGCTGCTGCTGTTGTTGCTGTGAGAGGATCTGCCGGCGCAGCGTCTCCGTCATCGAGCTCAGCGGACTACCAGCGTCCGGTGGAGCCAGTGCGGCATTCTGGGCAGCCATTTTGGCAGCAGCGGCACTGTGATAGCCATTCGAAGCAGATCCTGGTCCAAAGTGGGACTAAATTGTTGAAAAATGAGAAAAAATGGGAAAAAGAGGAAAATCTTGTTAGATGGCTAGCAAGGGAAATATTTTTAATTAAATAAATAAAATAAAGTTCAGCTTTTGGACATTGAAACTAAAAATATATCTTAAAATTATTAAAAATCAAAAGTACTTACACCATGAGCCTGTCCATTGGCGTATTGATGGGCTCCCATGTCCTCCTTGATCTCACGGTAGTCCCGGAAGACCACCGCCTTGATGACACTGCGGATGAGCTCCTCCGGCCACATGCCAAGGAGAATTCTCTGGGGACGACCCCTGGCCTTGGGCCGAGGATCAGCCCCGCCATCCAGGGAGGGTCCCAGCATGTTGTGCACTCGGTTGGCATAAAGGACGAAAGTGGGATACGGTATGTCGTATTTGCGGGCAGCTTGCGACAGCGATAGACCCTCCTTGAGGACACTGAAGATGGCCTCGGCCATGGCCTCGGGTCGCCAGGACTTCAGGGGTCCTCGCTCGCGGAATCGCAGCTGCTGAACCAGGTTTTGCTGATTGGTGTTCCAGCACTTTTGCCACATGGACTGCAACTGGTACTGGTAACTGTCTGCTGGAAGTAAGTTAACACACCGGACACAATGAAAAGCCTGTTATGAGAGGCAGGTGGCCCAACGATGGGCCGAGATTCAGAAACTTACCCGCCACGGAGGCTGCCCCAGTGGCTGCAGCTGCAGCGCCCATCCAGCCACCATGTCCTCCGCTCTCGATCATCTTGGCCTGCAAATAAATGCAAAAAAATTATATAAAGTTAGTGAGGTAAGAAAACTGTAAGATAATCCCTTTCCAGTAACCTTTTTAAAGAATTAAAAACTATAGTTGGCCGTGGAATGGAAACCTCCGCCCAATCGTTGTCACTTGGTTTTCTTTGGCTTAGTTTGGGGCCTGTGACATTTGCACACGAATTGTGGCTGGCCGTAAAAGTTTATGAATGCCATAAATGTTGCCAAAGCATTTTCGTATGCAAAGGGAACCGGAGACGGTGATGGAGACAGAGCCAGCCAGGGAAGCCTCCGAAAGCAAATTAGTATACAAAGTGGGGCTATCCCGGCTACCATTGTCTTGGCGGCTTTTTACGGCCCAGCTAAGGACTACTGCTTCCACCTAGTTTGAATATACAAAAAGCCATTTATTTATTGCTATTATTAGGAATTCAGGTGGAAGCTATGTACCGCTTAATTGAGACCGCCTTTAACCCTATGCCGGTGGTATTAATCAGTTGCCGAGGCAGCGGCAAAAAGCCGTCCATTTAAGGGGCAAGCGGTAGCTCAGACTTAAACTAAAAGCTTCAACTAAAACGGGAGACCATTTTGTTGAAACTCTACAGAGTTTTTTTTTTTGTTTTCCGACTCCACTGGGTATAGGAAAAGTTAAATTGATGCACGTTTCGTGGCATGGTCGGAACAGAGGCTCCGGCCATAAAGCCTTCCTTCGGCCAGTTGGCCATTTTGGCCAGTTTCAGCTGGCCACGCCCACCCCGCGCACGTAGCCATGCATTTTATATGCAGAGGCGTAATACAAATTATGTGCAGCGAGCATGAGGCACAAAAAAAAATAAAACAATCCAAGTATAGAGTGTGGTAAGGTGAGGTGAGGTGAAGAAAAAAAAATGCAGTGCATAAAGAGAACATATAATGCAAGGCTTAAATATTTGAGAAGTAGGCGCTGTAGAATGGAGAAAGGCGAGTGGAGCGAGGAGAAAGGAGAAAGCAGAGAAGGCTGGAGCCTGACATGCCAAGGAAAAAGGTCATAAAACGTATGAATAATTGAAATTGAAAAGTCGGAAGCATTTTTACATTTTTACAAGCACTATAGCTGTAACTGTAACCGTAACTGTAACAAATGCGGCCAAGCTGCAAACAAAATGGCGTTAAAAATGCTATTTTATGTAAAACACTTTGTTAATAATGGCGGCGTTTGGAGGAGGGTGACGCTGACTTATGACAGGCACTGTTACAAGTATAGGGGGTTGTAAAGTTTACAAATAATGAAGGGAAATATTAAATTATGATTTAGAATTGTAGGATTTTTTTTTTGTACTTTTTAATGGGTTTTTCAAGTACTATTTTTCCTCTGTGTATAACTCAAGCAATTGTCGGATATTTATCAAAAGAGCCTGCCTTTTAGAAAACTCGCTCGCATAGTACAATTCATATAATAAAATATTACGAGCTCTGCTCGAAAAATGTTTAATTAATTAAATTTTCAATTCCACTCCCCCTCGGCTAGCAACAACAACTGGCATTTCCTCCTGATCCGAAGCTACCTCTCCTCCCCCTCCCACCCCCTTACCCACTGCTATTCGACAAAAACAAATTTGAAGTGTGCGCGCATTCAACTTTCTTTCAACTCATTTAATTTAATTTGCGGCGCCTCGCTGCTGACGTCGCTGCTGCCTCTCTATGGTGTGGAGCTTCGTCACTAGCTTCTGGAAGTGCTTCCTCTTCTTCTTCTTCTTAGTCAGCCCCATAATGCTGTGCTTGTTCTTCTTGCCAATTACTCATCGTGTGCACGCCCCATTCACATAATAATTTATTTAATTAACTTTTCCGCTGCTACAAATTTCTATAAAAATTTATTGATTTTTGTTTATCTCTCCCCGACTTTCCCCCCTTTGGCAGGCGAGAAACGAAGGCAAAGAAAATATTTTTCGTAGCCAGGGCCTGGACTTTTTCAATACTTTTTTATTTGCGTCCCCCCCTGCTCCACCCACACACACCCCCGCAAATACAGAAACCATACATATATATAGATTTCTATAACTTTGTGTGTCTGTTGGCAATAAAATATAAATTTATAACACGCCCTCACACTCGCATTTACCATCAATCCAAATGCATAGAGAGCCCTTGCCCCACGCCTCCTGCCTCCCCTCTGGCCGCCTTTCAACAGCCTTCAAGTTTTCACTACATCGCGAGCTTAGCCGCCCCGCCACCCCGGCTCTGGGCTGTAATACCCCTCGGATTCTAATGCAATTTTAATTTTATTTTTCAAGCGCGCACATAAACTCGACTCCCCATCCCTTGGAAAAGCACTAAAAACTACACCATACCCGGCACTACCCCCTTCTTCGACGGCATGTCCTTTATCCTTAACCCATCCCCCCCATCTCCTTGGCTTGGAACTTTTGCTGTAGTTTCCTTCTTCCTGGCGCTTTTGCTGTGTATATTTCTTATATTATATAACACTTTATTTATTATTCATTTTCGATTCGTGTTCCACCGTGGTGGCGTCTCAAGTTTGTTATTTCTCTTGTCTGCAACTTGCTCACCGCAATCCCCCTTGACACTCCACTGTCTTGTACCCAGTCCACCACCACCCCACCTCACCCACACACACACACACCATCACAACCACCTTGTGCGTCACAACTAGCAGGAACTTTGCGATTTCCTTTGCGTTTTTGCGGAAAGTCTACTGCCTTTTGCTTTTCCTGGGCGCCTGGTCCCTTTTAGCCTTCACTATTACTACTGCCAACTAGTTTTCTCTCTCTAGCTCCTGCCGGCCAGCCCGCCGCACTTCAGACGCTATTCTCTCTCATTCCGGCAGCTGGCCGGCCACGTTCTCTTCTCTCAGCTCTTCTGGTTCATTCATTTATTTGTATTACGCATGCCACCCACTTATCCATCCGTCCCCCTCTATTCCGGCAACCTTGGCCACGTTTTCTACTTCCGAACTTCCTCTACTGCACTGAGGGAAATACTTTTAATAAGATATATATTAATCAGTACGATTAGCTTCTATTTTAGAAGCTCTATTCATTAATCTTTCAAGGACTCACCCACAAATAGTTCCTTAAGTAATCGTCTTTAAGGTTCTGTGTCAAAGAAAACTGACACTATTTTGGAAGATGCCCGCGAATTCATTTGCATTTTTATAAATCCCCATTCCCATTCCCATGGCTCTCCGAATTTCTAATGACTTTGCCAAAAGCCAGAGGGTATGGGGTGGGTGGTGGGAGGTAGGACACCCAGAGCTCCTTTGGCTCCCTTTTTTTTTTGCCGCAAGACAAAAACGTCGACGTCGGCGGCAACTAAATATTTAATAGTATTTTATTGCACGAATTTCACATAAAATATGCATATTGGCCCAATGCATTATTCATGGGAATAATGTGAAAAACACATTTCGCGAACCGGGCGAGGGTAGAAGGGAAAGCTACTACTGTATATAGATACTTCTTGAGCTCGTACGATATCTAGTTTCATTTTATACATATATTTATTTATATGTATATGTATTTGTAGTTGTATTGGAATATAATGAAATGCAAGAGAGCTATAAACAATTGCACTTGTGGAAATGCTGTCCAAGAAACCAACAGCAACAATAATTGTAGCAATCATAAAGCCAAGTGCGAGTGCATGAAGCTTACTACTCTCTATCCCCCCCGCTTTTTCCCAACACCCCTCTTCTGTGTGCACAGAAAGTTTTGTTTGCCACTCCAACAACAACAACAAACCAGAAACAACAACAACAGACACCAGCTCACCTCACAACAATGGCAACAATAATTTAAATGTAATAAATAATTATACGCCAAGTGTTGAGTGCAACGTGCATTGAGGTGTGTCAAGTTGCCGACTAACCAGCAACTGCCAACTGCCAACAGCAACACTAGTACCAACAACAACAAGAAGAACAACAAAAACAACATCAACCACAGCCGACAACAGAAATTGCTATAAAACATTCAAATGGGCCGCCGACTTCTTTCAGACCCTCGAAAATACCGCGATCCGAGGCACCCCTGTTGTTGCAAGGCGAGCCTGTGTGGGCTGGCTTTGTTGCTGACCCCTTCCCAGAGTTGTCTTGTGTGGCTGTCCTGCGAACTCAGACAGCATTTGGACAGAACTGGCATTTCGGACTTTGTTAAATGTTTATAATAGTGATGACAAAGTGAAAGAAAGGATTAAGGATAGCATATATTAGTTAAGGAAGTTGATGATTAAAATAGTTCTCATTCGGCTTTAGAAATTATTTTTTCTTAAAGAATTTTTAGTCCTTTGATTATCCTTTTCACGTTGCCATCTCTAAAAAGGCAACTCTCCTATATGTATTGGTGGAATTTGTTGCGAGCCCGACCCTGCTGTTATTTTTTCCAGCGTTGTTGAGCAATTGTAACTTCTGTAGTCGTTGCTCATGTAATTTCTGCTGGCTGGTGTAGTTGCAAAGTAAAAATTAACCTCTTGCAAATAGTAATTTATTGTTTTTAGCATAGAGGATAATGAGGATATACGGCTTTGGGCCCCAGCCCCCGTACAGCTCGCCCGAAGCTTGCGCATTGTTGGTTATTGTAATGACTTGGGACTGGCCGGAGCCTTGCGTGTTCTTCGGGCTGATTGAAAGCGCGCTTTCACTGCGAGAAAAGGATATTGTACAATGCCGGGCCAACATAGGACCAAAGGTGAGAAGGACGTGGGCCGACGAAGGGAGAAAGTCTACAAAGTGTTAAAACGGCTGCACACAGTCATTAAATATTAAACCTGTATAAGCCTGGCAGACTAGAGCGGAAAAAAACACACGCCTCCATCATCAGCGGCTCAAAGCTGGAGAAGAAAAACTGGCACCGCACTAATTATTCATGGGCGCGCAAATCTCGCAAGTTTAAATAAAAAGAAAAGCCATAAGGATAGCAGGAAGCGAAATCCGCACCGTCTCCGGTCAAGCGCTCGAATGTATGCTACATTTTTTTTCTCACATCCCACACCGCCTCTGCC